GCAGCACTCGGAGCGGTCCAAGTAATAGCGTTTGGGCGCGCTCTGACCACGTACCGACGATTGCGGCGATCGCTGCGATCGCCGAAATCGCCCGATAGCCACTGCTGTCGCGAAGTATAGACGCTGCGTAAAGGTAGAAGCGTGCCGTATCTCAGAAAGGGGATGATCGACGGCAAAGACTTCATCCTTTTTCCTTTATGCAACTACAACTACCCCAAAAACATCAGATAATCCTGATTTGTGGACATTCCCAAACAGGGATCGGTTTTGTCTTCCCTGGAAATTTAGAGTTCCATTAGGATTGTTAGAGTCTGGAATGCTGCCTACAAAATAGAGATCAAAACTTCGGGAGCCCACGATATATAATTATCTTAGCTCTTCTTAGTGAGATGTAGTGTAAATTGCAACGAACAACGATGTATAGGTTCCACGTAGGAATGTGCGGAGGTAGCGACGGTAAGGCACAAGGCTTATACAGCAACTTCGCCCTCGTTGGTAGATGTTTCGTCGGATATCTTTCTCCGTTGCATCTCACTGCTCACAGCTTTGTCTTGCCTTTTTAATCATATCGATTATTATATGTCTGTCGCCGGGCACAAGTAGAGCCTTATTTGGAGCGTTGTCGACGGCTTCCTCTCCTTTTTCTTCACAGCGAGTCAGCTAGCTTATGCCCTTTTTTTCTAAACCCGCTGCCTACCAACTTTCAGCTAGCTCATCGCGCAGTCTGCCTTTAAGCGAGTCAAATTGAGTCACGGTGCTGCTTCGGGTTGAACGCAGCCCCGTGGGTTGAAGGCGAACTGACAACCGTTTGATGCAACTGTTTATTCGAACCGTAGTGTCCGAGGACACTACTCTCTAGCTCACGCTAGGGTTAGACTGACTCTTCTTCACAATAGCCGGCCCTTATATACGGGGCTCGAAGCCGGAAGTGCTCGCTATTGGTCCGTTCGAAGTGCTGACGTCACACTTGGCGGGAAACTAGGCGTCGATTGGCCGAGCATCCGAGTCGCATATCGATTGAATCGGCTCCGCTTCGTATCAGAAATGACAAAAGGCTTTTGCCTATGTTCCTCCTGGAAACATTTCGCCCGTCTCTCCACCATTCCTGATCTAGAATCGAGGCCACGCTGCATTCCTGCAGCGAATTCAGCGAATGGTCCATCGCTATCAGCGTCCTGAAACAAACCACCTTTTTGGAGACAGAGTTTCCGGAGTCAGCTTTTTTTTGGGTCTCCCTCTCTTTCCTCCGTGTTGCGGTTGTCCTGAGGGTTCATCTGATATTCCCACTGGTAACTTTACCAGCACGGTTTACAAGCTTTGGGTGACGGGAGGCCTGCTTCTCTCTAGGGGCCTTCATGTACACTCGGTCACCGACCTTCGGTGTCTTCAAGCATACCTGTCTGTTTCGATCATATGCGACTTTCATCCTCTGCCGCATCTTATCAGACTCCTCGCGTGCATACTTCACGAGCTAGTTTCGTGGCTGCTGTTACTTCCTGTGTGTAGCTCTCCAGATCCACGACATACTTGCTAGGTTCTTCACGCGGCACTGCGTTCCACGGAACGTAAAGATCGAATCCGTGCAGCAAGTAAAAGGGAGACTTTCCCCAGAATGTCTATTTCAAACCAAATTCGTCCTTTTTCAAACCAAATTCACCCCTTTTCAAACCAAATTCACCCTCACTTTTCATCAGCTTAACCACACGTACGTCACTCGAAACAAGAAAATCCGGTAAAGTTTATTCCGAATGATCAGCAATACCCTAACATGCAAGCCAAGTCTCTACACTGCCGATTTGCATTTCACGCAGCAACCCTAAAATGCAAAAATTTTGAAAAAACATCGAAATTCCGCGAAAAGCCAGTGGGCGTGGTCAGCCTAGAGTGCCAAACCCTTTAGAGAATGGGCGGAGTCGGCCATGTGTTCCACTTTCTAAAGTATTCCACTTTCAAGAAACATGTTGGTGATTGTATTTGAATAATTTTTACGTTATGGTTGTTTTACCTACTGCTGGATGTTCGAAACTTGTTTTTATTTTATTTTACATGTTGCTATGACATGTCCAATAAATAAATAAATAATATAGTCTGCCAAGTCACGAGGATAGTGGATTATCGGTTGGCTATGGTATATTATTTATTTATTTATTGGACATGTCATAGCAACATGTAAAATAAAATAAAAACAAGTTTCGAACACCCAGCAGTAGGTAAGAACAATCATAACGTAAAAATTATTCAA